GCTCTCTCCAGTCTCGGGAGAGAAACAACCTTTCCTGAGCCCCTTTGCACAGCCGCTCAGAAGCGCATCTCCGAGCTCTGGTAGGTGCGTTTCTTTCCCTCAGCTAATCTCTGCTTCTGAAGGACCTGCTACAGGTGCCATATAAATAAATATTTGCTGAATGGATGCCTGAATTAATAATGGATGAAAAGAAACTGAGTCCTCGAGAGTAAGCAAGGCCTGCTGCGCTGGGAACCCGAGCACGCTTTTCCCCCTGACGCAGGCTGACAGCTCTGCCTTTGGTGACAGTGACGATGAGCAAAGCCTGCACTGGGCATGGACAGGGGAGAAAGGGGGCAGGGCCAGCCCAGGACATCCCCTGGAGGACGGAGGAACCGAGCAGGAAGGGAGTCCCCCGGCAAGGCACGAAGGGAGAAGTGAAGCAGAGGGTGACCCCGCAGCAGTGTAGCAAGAGCAGCCTTTGTGTGGGAGAGGGGTCAGGGAGCTGGGAGGAGCCACGTTGCAGGGCAGAGCCTCGCGCCCACAGCCCAGCGGACAGCAGTGTCTGCTCCTCTGGCCGTCATCCCAGGGACAGAATAACAACAAAAACATGTTTAAGATTTAGATCAATACAGTCTTAGCGTTCTTTTTCTTTTAAGAATTATTTATTTAATTTTATTTATCATTATTATTATGTCTTAATTTGTTACAGGGCACCAGAGAGAGAGAGAGAGAGAGAGAGGGAAGAAGAGAAAGCAAACCTCCAGGTCCAGGACCCGAACTGCAGTTGGCCATGTAGGAGTCTAGCACCCTAACCACCACACCACCTGTTGGCCCCCATTTATGGCTGTCTTGAAGACACCCAGCCACCAAACATAGTGCCTGACACTGACAGTCCTAGTGGTTTTGCTTCTTTTTGTTTTTGTTTTGTGGTTTTGGTTTTAAGTAAAAGCTTGTGGGTTTTTTGTTTGTTTGCTTTCTTATATTTTAAATGTGGCATTGAATCCACTTCCTAGGGCTTCTAAAACGAATGACCGCAGACTTGACAGTGTGAAGCAGTGGACACTGATTCTCTCACAGTCTGGAGGCCAGCAGACTTAAACCAGGGAGCCCGCAAGGCCATGCCCCCTCTGAGGCTCTGGGAGGGTCCTCCTTGCCTCTTTCTGGCTTTGGGTTGTTGCTGGCCATCCTGGGCATGCGTGGTCTGTGGCTGCATCCCTCCAGCCTTTGCCTCCACCTTTGCATAATCTGTGTGTGTGTGTGTGTGTGTGTGTGTGAGGACATTCGTCATCGGATGAAGGGCCCACTCTAATCCAGAATGATCTTATCTCGAGAGCTTTAATTTAATTGCATCTGCCATGACCCTGTTTCCAAATAAGGCCATATTCATAGGTACCAGACAGACACCGCTTTAGGGGGTGACTGCTCACTCCACTCCAGACATGCAGGTAGGACAGTCACAGAGCCTCAGTGGGCAGCTCAGTGAACTTGTGGACCCTGTATGTACCCGGATAACCATGGGAGCACCCGAGGACAGCACCAGAACAGGATTCAGGGGCCCACCAATGCATCCTCTAGCTAGGCCCTCCCTGCCCACAGGCAGGCCCCATCCCGATCTCGGTCACCATCCAGCAGCTCAGCCTGGTGGGGACTCAGGTAAATGGAACACTGAGCACCTGGCGTGGGGAGCAATAAGCTACCTACCAGTTCTTCCCGGAGACTAGAACCCCTAGGGACCCACCGGCAGTGGAGTAAAGTAACCAAAGTCCCTAGGAATACACCAGAGAAGCAAGTAGCATTTCTGTTACAAAGTGTTTAGCCAGTTAAAAGTATAGAAAGAAGACCATTTAAAATAGTACCCACAGGTAGCGCCCGGGCTTGGGAGGCAGGAGGCTGCACAGAGCCCTGGTTCAGTTCCTGGGCCGACCTGAACTTGACAGGCCCAGTTGTTCATGCCTGTGATCCGAGAGAACTGGGAGGCTGAGCAGGGGGACTGTGACACCATGTGACCCGTCAAACACACCTGTCTCTGACTCCCTCCCCTCGCTGTCTCTCCTTCTCTCTTCCTCTCCTTTCCTCTCTCTCGGAAAGAAAAAAAAAAAAAGCACCCTCAAAATAAAACAGCTAAGAATATCCTTTATAGTAACTATGAGGAGGGTCAAATAAATAAAACTAAAATTTTAGCTGAAATATTCTATTTTTAGATAGAGCAGCCATGTGTTGGAATAGGAAATTCTGTCTTTTAAAGCGAATAACTTCTCTGAATGAGTCTGAAGAGTAAATAGTTCGGAATACAGAAGAAAGCATTCTGCAAGGAGAGCGACAGAGAACTCGCTCTGCCAGACTTTACAGCACCTGGCGAGCTAAAACGAGAGCGTCGGATTCTCTGGTACAAGCAGCAGCAAACCAGTGAGCGGGGTGCTGTCCGGGGAGGGCCGGCCTGTATCTAACATCCGTTAAACAAGGTGTCGGCAGTTAATGGGGCCGTGGAAGATTTCCCAGACGAGGGTAACACAATAAGCCCCGAGATATCGGGGAAATACCCGCTTCTGAGTTTACTGCACACTGAAACAAGCTGAGACTAATTAGAACACAGTTATTTATTTATTTATTTATTTATTTATGGAGAGGTTTTGTTTTTTTTTTGTTTTTTTTTTTGTTTTTTTTTTGCTATAGGGCACGTGCGCTCGCCAGAAAGACAGAGAGAGACAGAAAGCAAGAAATCACCTCCCGGGGGGATGGCCACGCTGCAATCCCTTCTCCTCCTTTCTACTCTCAGGATCTTGGGCACGCAATGCACACGTGCCCGGTGTGAGTTTAAGCCACCGGGTCCGGGACTCGAACCACGTTCGACTACATGAGAGCCCAGTGATGTAGCCATTACACCAACTGCTGGCCCCAAAATGCAGTTATTTTTAAAAGTAGAAAAATCAGAGCAAATAACTTCTTTATGTCTGGATGACAAAAGCTTGAAAAACAAAAGGAAAGCATTAAAAATAGAAAGATAGATTTGAGAACACCAAGAAATTATATGTCTAACACCTCAAAATAAATAAAAGACAAGTTACAGGCTCAAAACACACCTTTTTTCCCTCCAATAAACAAGATTGAGAAAGGATTTAAAATATTGATCAACTGGGACCAGACGATGGAGCAGTGATAAACCACAGTGCTCTGTGAGAGACGTCCACTAAGAAGGTTCCTGGTTCAAGCCCAGAGCCCTCCCTGAGTACGCTGGGATCATGCAGGCCCGGAATCCAGGGCTGCCTGAAGTCTGGGGGCGGATTGCAGCAGCAGGGGGCGCTGTCTCTGTCTCTGTTTATGTCTGTCTCTCTTGCTCATGAATACAAAGAATAAACAAACTATTTTTTTAAGTTAATAAATAAGCAATTCACATGAATCAATGAGGAAAACTAAAATATTCCATTAGCTAGGTGGGCAAAAAAAAAAAGTTCAGAAAACTCAGAAAGATGAAATGCAAGTAATTTGTAAGGAAATGACAACACAGTCACTCTAAGAACCTAAGAAAAGCTGAGGAAAATAACCAAACTTTTTTCTCTTCGACTAGTCATTAACCAGGGTTTATGCAGGTGTGGTAGATAAACCGTACATTTTCCTATCTAGTAATGAGAAAATACAATTTTATAATCTTTTTTGAAAATAAATTTAGTAGCTGTGTCAAAAGCTTAAAACATTTTAATATACTTTAGCTGGGAGACACCCCACGAAGGTTTAAACAGGCACTATATATATGCGTGTGTGCGTGTCTATACCATCCATATCTGTATCTATATACACGCACACGCACACTAACTGGGGTCTATGCCTCACCCTAAAGAAGTCGCGTTGCTACACTGCAAGAGGTCCAGGCTATCAAGATACAAATGGTGCAGGAACACACCCCTCCCTGCTCAGGATAGAGAGTGACAGCACAGTAACCCAATCAGCAGAGGGTAACTTGGTGGTTTCCAAGGAAACGAAACCTCCCACTAAATGGAATTTTCCCTTTCATTCAGCAGGGCAGGTCATGTTTACACTAAAAAGTTAATAGCAGGACTTTTTAGGCAGAAAAGCAAGGGCAGGACCCTGGGCAACCGGAAGCCCTTGCCAGCTGTGTGGACGGGAGAGAAGATGAGTGGAGAGATGGACAGGAGGGGGCGCTGCGCAGGGAGGGGCGGAACTGCTCCCGTGCCGACGCGGGGGGCCTGAGACGTGGACATGTGTAGGACCTTGGACATGGCTGGGACGTAGTCAGGTGTGTCCGATTGAAGGAACTGCAATCCAGAGACGGAACCAAGGAGCACAGAGGGTAGTCCCGTGGAAGCTCCTGCAGTGGTCCTTCTGGGAGATAATGGGCTCCTAAACAAGGATAATTATCGCTGAGATGAGATGAGGGACATTCTAGAATGTCAGCTCCCCAAAGGGTATATATACAGCCATCATTTCAGTTATAATTCTTCGGGTCATCAAAATATTTCCAAGGACCACTGAATGTTTTCTTTAGAAATGTGAACATGCTCGCTGGGAGGGCATGGACTCCTGGACAGGAAATACGAAAGCATTTCTCCCTGTTCGGTTTTCTTGTGATTTCATTTGAATTTTTTAAAATACAGAATGGCTACTTCTTTGTATGTTTTCAATCTTTTATTTAAGACTTATTTGAGAGGTTTTTGCTATAGGGCATGTGTGCTCACCAGAGGGACAGAGAGAGACAGAGAGACAGAAGGTGAGAAACCACCCCCTCCAGGGGCAATAGCCGTACTGAAGTTCCTGTTCCATTCTTCTCTTGGATTTTGGGCCTGCACGCGCACCTGGCATGAGTTTCAAGCTGCCAGGTCTGGGATTTGAACCGCAATTGACTATGTGGGAGTCCAGCACCTTAACCACTTAACCACTTTTAATAATACACCTTATTGAGAGTTCCTCCCCCGATCTCTATATCAATGTCAACTTCCTGGGTGTGGGTTTATACCACACTTACACAAAATGTCATCCCGGAAACTGGGTAAATGGTACACGATTCTCTTTATTATTCTTACAGCCACAGGTGAATCAACAGTTCTCTCAAAATAAAGAGCTATATAAAGAAAGTAGCTGGAATGATTCACCTTCCACACTGAGGAGCTTTCACAGCTCACGTCAGAGAATTGAGGATTTTCACAGGGCCCCTGCGAAGTGCCTCCCTTCTGTATCTTCTTTGTAGATGAACCCAGAAGGGAGGGTCACTGGGTGCTGTTGTCATGGCAGCTTTTTGTTTTCCAGTTGCAGCTCCGGAGTAAATAGTCTCTCATTTACAGCCTCCAAATCGCACGAGTGTCGCCATGGTTATTCTTGCTGTTCCTCTGAGCTTCCCGACTTCCTCCTCGGATGTGGTTCGCGCTGCCTGGAGCAGGTGTGCGCCCTTCACAGGAGTGAAAAATGAATCAATTCGCAGTGCTCCCTGTACCGGTGCGGTGCGACGCGTCTGCCTGCGCGTGATTGGGTGCAACCCGTGTGCAAAGGCTCCTGGTTTAGCCGCGACGGTCCCGGTAGCTGTCGGCAGCTGTGGACGCGCAGCCCTGGCTGTGGTAAACGGCTGCAGGTATGTTTGCAATCTGGGGTGGAGTGGGGCGAGGGTGGGAGGGCAGGGGAACTAGTTGGACTCTCACTCTCCTGTGGCTGACTCTGCCAGTTTGTCTCCGGTCTCAGGCATCCTGTGGTCACCCAGGCTTCTTCCACCCCCAGGCTCCACCCCCAGCCTCTTTGTTCCAGGGGCCACGCTGCGGAGTGGTCAGCGTGAACAGCTGCCCGAGAGGCGCACTGCACGTGTTCGCGTGTTGGCCGGGTGGGGCTGCTTTCCTGGAGCCTGTGCTTGTGTTTTCTGCTTCTGGTACGGCCACATCCTTCTTCAGAACTGTTGCATGCCCCCAGCGGTCTCCGCGAGGCCCCTTTGGCCCTTCTCCAACCCATTCTTTGCAGGCAGCCAGCATGGTCACTTTGGAACACACGGCTGACAGCATCACTCCCTGCTTACTGCCTTTAGTGACCCTCAAGTATTTCAGGATAAACTGGAATATGGGGCTGACCTCATGGCCTAGTGGTTAAAGCGGCTGATTCCACGTGGCTGACCATGGTTCAAGTCCTGGCCCCAGCGTCCTGAAAAACATGCCAGGTGCATGTGTGTGCACCCCAAATCCCAGCACGGTGGAGAAATGGAGCAGGGATTGCGGCATGACCATACCCTGTTGGGGGCGCTTTCTCCCTCCCACCCTCCCTCCATCTCCCTGGCCGGCACCCACACCCTCTGGCAGATTAGGAAGGAGAAAGCGATGTGCTCCCGGGCCCCACCCCCAAGTGTGCCTCCCTGCCAGGGGATGGCCACGTCCTGCTGTTTGCCTGAGGCACATGCTGGCCACCTCCCCTTAAAGGCCGCCAAGGAGACACCACAAGCACCTTGGCACCTCCAGGTTCAGAATCGGGAGCGGCTGAGGCCGGCTTCCTCGCCATTGCCGATGAGTCTGGGCGAGCCCTCACCCCGGCTCCACTTCCTCCTTGGCACCAGCGCAGAAGCCAGCTGCCGGTGGCATGCCTGCCTTCAGAGCTGGCCTTCTGCAGTCACTGTTGGCATGGGGGAGCGGACAGGCCACACGCAGCGTGGTAGGACACCAAGAAACCGCCTACCCACAAGACCTTCAGCTGCTCACTTACCCGACCTGAAATTACCTTGGCAAGGGCGAGCGTGGCCACAATGCGCCCAACGCAGATTTCCAGCCACCATGTCCCCTCGTCCTCTCTGCGCATGCCCTGACTCAGCCAGACTGGGCTCTCTGAGCTCCCCAGCCACCCCATGCCCTCCCTGTTCCTGTCTGTATATGCTCTGTGCCCACCAGCAGGTGCAGCATGAGGGTGGGAGCCCAGTGGGAAGTAAATGCCTATCTGTAGGGCCTCTGGGAAGCGCTTCCTATGGTGAAAGGGAGATGCCAGAACAGGGCCCAAACCAGCAGGTTGAAGCCCACATTGAGGAAGAGCAGAGCTGGGAGGCCGATCCCGGGGAGCAGCCAGCACGGATCTTTGACATCGGGATGTTTGCCGGACTCCATCAGTGCGGGCGGATGGGGAGGTCTGGAAGATTCTAGCACCTGGTGGATTGTAGTTGGGCATGGCTAGATCACTGAGCTTCAGCATCAACTAGTCTAGCTCCTTTCGTTACAGGCGAGGAAACTGAGGTTTGGGAGTTCCTGAGACCTTCCCCATCTTCTCCAGGCCAGGGCTCCAATCCGCGGTCTTCCGTGAAGGTGCCAGGACCACTTGCACAGACAACTGCACCAGAGCAGGGCTCCTTTCTGCAGCTGCTCAGGCCTCACTTTGCTCCTCACGGACTGACGTAAGAACAGCACCCCCTGAGCACACACAGCCGGACAGAGAGGCTCTGAGCTGGTCAAGGCAGAGTCCCCTGGGCAGAGCGGCTCCGTCTCCTGGGCTGAGTATGTGGGGACAATGATTGGAGCCCAGACAACAGACGGTGGCCCTATCCGTGGACACTGGGATCTAAGGCAGCAGACCGGCATCTGGAAAGACGGGTGAGGCAGACCTCTGCCCTGGAGGGGATTCAGGTCTGGGGGTAAACAGGCCCAGAGTGGCAAGACAGGTGCCTTTCCTCAGGAGAGGCTCCCTGTGGTGTTAGTGATGAAGGTGGCCCTTGTCACCTCACCCAGGGTTCCGGATGCTGGTCATGAGCTCCGGGGTTCCCCCTCCTGGACTATGGGTGACACCAGAGCCCAGCCAGCTGGTCAAACAGCCAGGAGCAG